CCCCCCCATTGCTGGAATGGTATCTCCTGCCTGGGGAAAGCCAACCTAGGAGCGTACCATTTCCAAGTCTTTATATTCCCCCCTCTTACTGGAATGGTATCTCCCACCTCCCATTATAAACAGAAATTGGAACGTTCCATATAAAGAAAGAGGGGAGATGCTTCCAGTCCTTATATTCCCTATTTCCCCTTGATGCCTTCACTCCCCCTTTTCCCATTAGAATGGTATCTCCCATCTCCCGTTATAAACAGGAATCGGAACGTTCCATATTATAAGAGAGGAGGGAATACTTCCAACCCTTTATTCCCCCTGCTTGCTGGAATGGTATCTCCCACCTCCCTTTAGAAACAGAAATTGGAACGTTCCATATACTTCCAGTCGTATTCCCTATTTCCCCTTACTGCCTTCACTCCCCCTTTTCCCACTGAAATGGTATCTCCCACCTCCTGTTCTAAACAGAAATAGGAACGTTCCATATTATAAGAGAGGGGGGAAAACTTCTAACCTTTTATATTCCCCCCTATTGCTGGAATGGTATCTCCCGCCTGGGGAGCGTTCCATTTCCAAGTCTTTATATTCCCCCTATCACTGGAATGGTATCTCCCGCCTGGGGAAATACAATTTAGGAGTGTACCATTTCCAAGTCTTCATACTCCCCCCTCTTGCTGGAATGGTATCTCCCTCGTGGGGAGCGTACCATTTCCAAGTCTTTATATTCCCCCCTCTTGCTGAAATGGTATCGCCCGCCTGGCTAGGAGCGTACCATTTCCAAGTCTTCATATTCCCCCCTCTTGCTGGAATGGTATCTCCCGCCTGAAGGCAAGACAACCTGGGAGCGTACCATTGAGAAAGAGAAAAAGGGGGCGAGCGAAGGAAGGAGAAAGGAAAAAGATCTAGAAAGAGGAACAATTAGCAGTAAAGGAAACAGGAAAGAAGAGAGACGGGGAGGGGGAAGGAGGTGGGGAGCAGAGCGCTCACCTCGGGTTGCCATGGGAACTTTTCCTTCTCGCTCTGCCTCCCAGCCAGTCAGTAGCCGGAGCCTTGGTGGGTAGGCCTCACTTCCGGCTCACAATTTGGCAGGAAGTGGGCCTTCGGCGCGGCCCCTGGCTCGGTTTTCCCCCCTCGCGCGGGCGGAGAGGCTCACTATGTGGCAGCAGCAGCAGCAGCAGCAGCAACCGCCTCCTCCGCCTCCGCCGCCGCCAATGGAGGCCGGGCTCCGAGCGCAGCAGCAGCAGGCCCAAGCCCAGGGCCAGGCCTTCTCGGCGGGGGGAGACCAGCCTCCGCCTCCCCCTCCGCCTCAGCAGCCGGCCTCTGCTTCCTCCTCCGCCTCGGGCCGCGCCGAGCTGAGCCTCCCCGGCATCCTGCACTTCATCCAGCACGAATGGGCCCGCTTCGAGGCCGAGAAGAGCCGCTGGGAGGCCGAGAGGGCCGAGCTCCAGGTGAGTGGGGCCTAGTCGTGACTGAGTGAGGCCTAGTCGAGAGGGAGAGAGGGAGGCCGGCCGGCCGGGCAGGGGGGCTTCTCCATCCGGCGCCATCTTGGAGGGCCTTCCTGGTTGTCACCGAGTTGCCTTTGGGGGGGAGGTCGAGGGGCCTGGGGAATATATTCCTGCCTTCCCATGGATGGTATTTGGGTTTGAGTGGCTTAGAAGCAGCATATT